CTGTCGGCGGTGTTGCAGCGCTGGTGTTTCCGGGAGGCTAGTGCTTGAAGCCGATCTCGGGCAGGTTGAGCTTACTCGAGATTCAAGTACCGATGCCTACGTAACAGACGTTAATTTCGCGTCACAACTAGACGAATGACTAAGTTTAGGTGGCCAGCCGACACGGAGCCACAACCACTTAAGGGATACTTCTTGATCTCTTTCTACACCATATTGGTCAGCAACTAGACTGGTTAGCAAGGCGAAATCCTGCTCTTAAATCGACCTCCGTGTCCCCTGATTCTCGTCCTGGGGGAAAAGAGACCTCTACATGGGTCCAATCACGCACGTTTCATTGTTAGAAACTCCACCCTAAAAATATATTGACCACGTCCCTTTTTTAATTAGGAGAGGGTCCTCAACTGAGCGAGAGTGACAACCTGTTGGGGTTCTCTCATACGGCTTGTCCACAAGCAGTTTTGCCCGTGGGAATGGTCAGTTTCCTTGGTTTCAGCTGGTGCGTCTTGCAGTATACAGCTAGTTCGGGGTGCATCGCGGCCTTTGACGACCCTGCCGACGCCGCCGTAGGTACAAAGGATCAAACATCGGCGACTAACGTTTGAAGAAGAACACCCCATTCAGTACTTCTCAGCACTAAAGGCCAGTCTTTTCACGAGCGAATGGTTCCACCGGTCAGCGGGGGAGTGCGGCGCCCGTTAATTTGCCGTTACGCCGGGTCGCAAAAATGGCAGTCCGTGACAGCATGTATGCAAGCAAACAAACAAGTCGCCCAACATTCCGATCTTCTTGTTACCGTTCGCACATTCTGCTTGCTGGATAGTTTCCTCGTGATTGCGAAAGGATAGAAGGGTTGAAGCTTGGGCTAGCTGGGTTTAGCTTTTAATCGACTCTTGAAACATAGAGGGAAGTTTAAACGAGGAAGTTTTTCCTTCTCGGCAACTTGCAAAATTCTGTGAGGACTTGTTCTGGGGTCACTTGAAGTTCTCGATGGATGCTGAGCAGTGCTAGTCCGGTCAATCTGTCGTTGTTCATATGATTTCGAAGGTAGCGCTTCAGCCTTCTCAGTGTGGAAAAAGTCCGTTCCGGGGTCGACGTCGACACGGGTAAAGTCGCCAGGATAGAAAGTAGGCTGTGGATGTTCGGAAAAAAGTCGCGGTTGCACATCTCTAAGGCCTGTAAAGCACAAGCTGGGCAATTCTTTTCTTCGATCTGGCAGCATTTGTTCACCCACAGTGTGAACTCTGCTTCGATGACATTAGCCGGAGAAATGTCGCCAAGGTAAAACTGCACTGCATCATCAATATCAGAAAGGCTAGCCGATGCGCAGAATTTCGGCAGCAGCATGTTAAGACCAACCACGACCTTCTTATGGGCATCGAACCGGTCTCTTAATTGATTTTCGAAGTCAGCCAGCAAAGGCAAACACGCATTCCTCCGGTAGTACTCTTCGGGAGTAGCAGAAGGTACGTTGCTTCTTTGCATCTGCCTTCCAGTGATGCGTGGTAGGGCCATTCAACATTTGTGATCTTCAGCAAAGACAGCGACTTCAGAAAAATCTTATTAAATTCCGTTTCCGCACTAGCCCTTTTTGTGGAAGGAACGTCTATAACATTCTTTACGTGATCCCACGCTTGAGCCAAGTCACAGTCAATTTTTTTAAGAAACTTGCAAAGTGGGAGTGTCAAAGAGAAGAGGTCGCTACAGATCTGAAGCTAAACGACAAACTCGGGCTTCGTAATGGCATTGAGAAGTTGAGAAGCTTTTGATGAAGTATCAGATGACGCAGCCTCTTCTTCCAAATATTCGAGGAATTGTACAATAGGCACGTACAGTTCAAGGAAACGTTGAAGTGCATCGTGACTCTCTGCCCATTTTGTTTGGCAAAAAGGAGAGAACTGATTTTCTTTTTTCTTGTGTTAAATCTTCTACTTTGTCTCGCAGTTGGTTCGTCCTCTGTGGCGAAGCTCTCACAAACGTACAGGTTGAGGATACAGTTCCCAAACAGTTGCGGATGCTGGGGAGCTTGCATGCGTGAAGCAGAGCAAGGTTCAACGAGTGGGCGCTACAATGCACGTACAACGCTTTGGGCGCTGTTTGACGAATGAAGGCTTGAACAACGTTAAGGTGGCCGCTCATTTATGCCACGCCGTCGTATCCTTGCCCGCAAAGTAGGTTCAGGTCAAAGCCATGACCTCTAAGGCTGTTCAGGATTGTGCTCGCCAGCGTCTTGCCAGTGAGATCGTACACTGGAACGAAATCTACAAAATCTTCTTTAAGAATGGGCACTCCCGACGTGTCGTGTCCAACGTACCTCACACATAGGGAAATGTGGGCGGTACGAGATATATCAGTGGCCTCGTCAGCTAGAACTGAAAAACACGAACCTGAGTTGACGTTTTCCACTATCTTTCTTTGTATGATTTTACCACAGAGGGTGATCAACTCATTTTAAATTTTCGGGCTCGTGTACAGCGCATTCGCCGGCGATGTTTCCATGTGAGCTCTCAAGGCGGCATCTCCACATTTTGCGCTCATCCTAAGCAGTGCGCGGAAATTTCCATCATTTTTGAATGGCAGCACTCCAGACATATTTATCGGACCAGAGTCGTCTGTGCCGCGAAGCGGTACTTCTTGCCTGCCACAGAAAAGGATCGTTTCTATTATTGGCAGCAAGTACTTGCGGTTTTCTTCCGCCTGCTTTTTAAGGCCGTGGTCAAGTTGTGTTAAGATGTCATGCTGTGAGCGGGACCGGACTGCTAAAAAGTTCTCCGATAGCGTTGTTGGCATGGCGTGATAACTGCTGGATGCGTGGCTCTTAAAGGCGTCCATGGCTTTCTTGTAATTGGTGAACTCCTTAGTTACAAAACAGCCGAAGCGCTGGTGCTCCCCTTTTCCTGCACACTCGCTTGAGAAGACTGCGCAATATTTGCATAATGCTTCTTGAAGCTTCTCTGAATAAACAAGCCATGGGTAACGATCTGCCCAGTGAGGTTGGAACTTCAGATTCATTTTCCGTGTGGCTGGATAGTCATAGTTAGCCGGAGGGGTCTACGGATTGAGCAGCAGCTTCTCCATCGTCTCTGGATCATTTAAATTATTGCTTTTCGAGACAAACAGTCCCAAGTCGAAAATATTCGCACTCGTCGCACAGAGGGGAGGCGAACCAGAATGTATAGGTGCCATGCCACTCACCTTCCTTGGGAATTGCCCAGTGGTAAAGGCGTCACTTTGCCCAGCGTTGACTGTAGAACAAAGATCACTTGGAGTTGCACTGCGGCCACCATCATTTCCCGGCGGCGCATGGGTGTCCTGCTTGTGTTCGTTCTCAGGTGATTCATATAAACCGGTGCATTCTCCTGAGTCGCTACAGAAGTTCGGACGCGCTTGGCTTTCCACCAGTGCTGAGGAGGGCGAAGTTTTATCCTTCGAAGGAGGCGGTTCTTCTCCGTCCGCTTCATCGGTTCGAACTTTCTTGAAGTAAGAGGCAAGACTCCTTTGCTTCGTTGTTGCAGAGTGTCTTTTCATTTTGCTGCCGCAATCCTGTGCACGCACACAGAAGTGGCCAGTGGCTCCAAAAAGACGTTTGCGACTGCTTCGACTGCCTGGCGTGAACGGCGGGCGATGTTTTGTTCCTCTCTTATCCACTTTACAGTGGCTAGAATGTAGAAGTGTGATGAACGCGCCGGCTCCCGCGTGGCGCATGTGTTTTCTGAACGCCGCTACAGATGATGTGCATGCAGGCCCATTATTGTACTCCAGCTGCAGCAAACTGGATTAACGCTACTTAAAGACCTTTTCACAGAAGACTCCATGGGCACTGCATACTCCCCTTAATATACGTGAACCCCCAAGAATGCACTGCCGAGACATTTGCACTCCCGTGGTACAGTCCAGAAAGGAGGTGTTGCTCCGTTCCTGTGAAAAAGTCACCTTTTCACAGACGGCTCCCTGGGCGCCTGCATAATTCTCTCTGGGCTGCGCTAATTAAATAGCCGTGACCCCCCAAAAATGCACTTCGTGGGCTGTGACGTCAGCCTCTGTACTCCCGCGCGCAGCCCAGCTTGGCGGCGTTTTTTATCTCCTGTGAAAGTTGACCACTGGTGCCGGATTGTGTGCCGGCTGTATCCTCGCTTTGTGCGCTTTGTAGGGAGGCGCATATACCTTCTGTGTACAGAAGAGGTAGATTTCCTTGCGTGTGGTTAAGGTTGTTCGAAGTTGCTCGGATATGCCAGTCTTTCAGTAGATGTCATCTTCGATGATTCGTTTCGGTGGCGAGGACTACAGTTTGAGAAAAGTTTGCCCTGCAGCCTGCGTCCTCGGAATGCGCCGCTGAGTTTTTCCGCTTAGGGGTTTCGTTCCCTGGCAAATTTGCACACGTCGTGCTGGTGTTGCCGTTGCTGTCGAACTGTTTACCTTCACAGAAGTAGATGCGCTTTTCGTAGGAACCCAAAGCCGACACGTGCGGTCCGCACAGACGGATAACTTCTCCAGCGGCAATGCACAAGGAAAGCATCTGGAATCAATAAAGGAGCTGCTACGGTGTGAAAGACGAAAAAAAAAAAGACTCGAAGGAACGCGAGGGCGAAGTGCAAAGCTGTACAAATAGGGCAGGTGCGCGTGCGGGGGAGGGAGCGCTGAGGTGTTCTGGTAAAAGGGAAGGTTTGAAGAAAGGAAGAAGAGGGAAGCAATGCCAGGAAAGTTGCAGTGTAACTTTGGCAGCTGGTGGTCGCTGTGAAGGCGTGTAAATATTTTAGTATCACCCGAAAAGTTAAAGCATAAAAAAATTTCGGGGGGGGGGTCAGAATCCCCTCAACCCCCCCCCTAGTCATGAGCCTGCTGGTGTCATAAGCATATTGTAAACCAACAACTGTGCCGGAAGCGCAGCAGGTGCGAAATGGTCAAATATCTGTGTGGTTAGCAAGGCGATACTTACCGTACTACGAGTAATCTCGAAGGCCTGTGTGGTCCAGTTATACTGTGACAGACAAGACCCTCTCGGACAAAAATTACATGTGTGTCAATTTATTTCACGTGTTCACTTTCCCGGTGGTCTAGTACGAAGCGCTTGTCAAGCCACAACTCGACGTCCCGGTAATAGTACGTAATCCAGCGGATGTGCTCGCGTGCGTTCTGGATCATGTGCAGCACCTTCTCCTCTTCACTGGGTAGCACGTCTCGGGTACGCTCGTAGATTTCGCGAAGCTGCGTAGACGAAGTTCTGCTTTCACATCCACTCTCGTTTGCCAATCATCTACACTTCGCTCACCAACTATACAAGTGTGCATTAATACGCGAAGCACATGATCAGTGTAATCGGAAGTGTTTGTAATAAAATAATTAGTCGAAAAAAAAGTCAAAGAAAAATGGCACCATCTCCCGCTAAAGGGACCCATGTTTAGATGCGAAGCAGCGGGCACTAAAGGCCTGTGACCTCACGTATCCGTCGCAGTGCGTCGGCGCGTCTTCTTAGGGCCAAATCTCATAAGCGTGAAAATGCACGCGACAGCGACGCTATGAGCGACGAAACAGGGCGTTCGCGCTACGTGTCGCGTGCTCGTTTTCGCGCGATCGCTCGGTTCTCCAGATTTGGAAACCGTCGCTCATCGCCCGGAAGTGCTGGGCTCAAGCAGCCAATAGCGAAAAACCGGAAAAGACAAAGACTACATAGGTGCACGTGACCCTGCCCGAGTCACGTATGCGCAACAAGAAATAACGCAATGTTTACGCATGTGCATATAAAAAAAAAGTGCTGCAAGGCATTCATAAACACTTTCCGTTCCATTACACAACAATATACCTTATTTTTAAATTGCATACCGCTCACTACGCGGTTTTCTTGGTGCGAGTAGACGGCCTCATGTCAGGAAAAACAGTGGAGTTCGTTCGCCGAAGCCGTCGCGTGAATGAGGTTTGCCTGCGCTAGCGACTGATCGCGCGAAGACGATCTACGTCGCATCGCTCGTCGCTGTCGCGTGCATTTTCGCGCTTATGAGGTTTGGCCTTTAACGCGGTGTCGAGTCCTTCCCCATATGAGAGAGAGCGCGCGGCTTCGCGTAGCCACGCGCCCATTCTCTCTATGGCTGTGTTCCGATTCTCAGACAGCACGTAGACAGTCTACGTAGACTGCTTATAAGATGGCACCGAGCCCACAGTGTCCGAGAATAGGAACACTTCGGGATGACTTTAACGCGACGATGCGTTACCTCGTGTCGAAAAGAAAAAAGCTAAAATAAACGTAATATGTGCATTTTCTGACTTATTTCGTGTTGAAATTAAAAAAAAAAGAACGTTACTCACATTGAGCGTTCTGGGAAAGCGTCTGCTTGTGTGCAGATGACCATTCTATTCCAAGATTTCATTTATCTGAGCGATTCGCTGAGCCGCCATCTTGTTTAGACAGCAAAGTAGCCTGCATCGTATTTGTCTACGATGCTGTCTCCTCGGAGCTATTTTGCCGCCTACGTGAGATTTGGAATGGGACTTTAGATGGCCGCCGTCCATTTAGCTGTCTGTTTAGCCGTCTACGGTGAGTATTGGAACACACCCTATAGGGAGAGGGCACGACGCCGCGTCAAAAAACCGCGCGCTGACGCACTGCTGCGGATACGTGGGGTCCGGCCTTTAGGAGACGCTCCCTGCGACGGAGTTGCGAGGTCAGAGAGAGAGAGCGTAGGATGGAAGAAAAGGGAGAGCAGACGCGCATGCGCAGTAAGGATGGTCACGCCGCACACCAGATTGAGCTCGACCCTAAGGTTCTACGCGTCTAAAAGCATTCGTTATGATAAACTTTGAGTATATGAAAACAATTAACGTGAACGTACAGGACTGGCCAAAGTTCCCGGGCAAATATAGTACATCTTTTTACCCTCTTCAGAACAGATACAGCTCAATAGAATGGTTAATAACGGGATAACAGCGTCGCATGCGGCATACTTTAGTCGGGGTGTTATCTATATATCTATGTACTGATAAAATTTAGCCGTCACAGTGGTCAGAAAATGAACCTCTGAGCATATATATATATATATATATATTACCAAAGTCTAACAGACAATAATGCCAAGGAGAGTATAGGGGAAGATATAAGACCGAATTGTAATGTAACAAAGAAGAAAAGTGGGTAAAAAGATAACTTGCCGATAATAACTTGATAACTTGCGATAATAACTTGATAATAACTTGCGATAATAACTTGATAACTTGCCCACCGCAAGTTATCTATTCACCCACTTTTCTTCTTTGTTACATTACAAGTCGGTCTTATATCTTCCCCTATACTCTCCTTGGCATTATTGTCTGTTAGACTTCGGTAATATTGTGTAAAACACGGAAAAACGAGCCCTTAAGTATACACTTTTTTTCTTATATATATATATATATATATATATATATATATATATATATATATATATATATATATATATATATATTTATATATATATATATATATATATATATATATATATATATATATATATATATATATATATATATATATATATATATATATATATATATATATATATATATATATATATATATATATATGCAGGATGCAGATATGTGGGTTATTCCAATGCCGTTATCCCCGACTTATCCAAAGCTGTGCTAGAGCCACCGTATATGCAGCCCATAAGGAACCAATGTGACGTCCATGACGCCATATCGCCACATCTGCTTCTAGAGAAAATATGTGTGTAACTGTATGAAAGCATGTCTAAGCGTTGAACAGGAAATGGCTCGGACGACTCTTAACCAACCTTTTCTAGCTCGCTTTCATGTCTGATGTTGTCCACGACCGTCTGCAAGATGGAATCGAAAAGACCTTGGAGGGTGCCAAACCTGCGAAGCAGTGTCGTGTTGAAAGGGTCAGCGTGGAAACCATAGGTCTATGAGACATCGCCAACTAAGCACAACAAAATATTGCCGGACATACGTGTCCAGAGGCCAAGTGTTGACTTTCAAGTAAATTTGTTTCATGACAAGTAGATAGAAAATACGAAGCGCTGGTGATAGATGCATTGTCTGACTTCCTAATTTATGAGTGCCAATTAGCCTACAGTCTGATTTGGCTCTTGTTAGGCGATTTAAGAGCGGGATAACGCATGGTGTTCGCGCTGTTTCACATATTTCCACCATGTTATTCGTATTGTGTGATGGATCATACCTATACACTATCACTTCTATTAAAACGTGATGTATCCACGCTCGAAGAATATACGGACGTTTGACCAACTCTTCATTATGGTGAATTTTAATCACATGCAATACCCCTATTCTGTTCTTACTTCTGGAGAAATGGCTGTTCGGAAACCCAATCGCAACCACCATCATACCGGTTGAACATGGTGTCCTGGTGATCGGTCATGAAGCGGATAACGCTCTTGCTTCCCGATATGCTTGTGCTTGAGATGGCGTTGAGCAGGTTAGCCGCCTTCTGCGTCGTCTCCACGCCGGAGTTCTTGTTCACCAATTGTAGCAGCAGCCTGCGATGAAAAAAAAAACCGCGCAGGAATCGTCTCAGGCGTTTCTGAGGCATACGTGCATAAATGGTGCGAGTGGGTTAATTTTTATACGATTTTAGTTGGCAGCAGTATAACAACTTGCTTATTCGGTAACCACCGGGTTGTCTGTGAATGTGGTCAGTAGCAGGCGACGGTAGATAATTTGCGACATAACAACGTCGACATAATATTCAAGGTAAGTTCATCCATGTCCAACCTCTCTAGAAGCTTCAAGTCGGTGGTACAGGACAGCGCCTTGAGCAGCACCACGCGCTCCTGGGTGTTGGCCGACAACTCGTAGTGCTTCCACAGGAAGTTGAAGTCCTCTTCGTTTCCGTGCTTGATGGCCTGACAGAATACGAGGGGACGGTACGAGTGCGGCACCCTGCGCAGAAATGTGGGCTCACTTGCACCAAAGCCGTTATGACGTCTATTACGCCATCGAGCGCGTGAAGTTTTGCTCAGCGGAAGAGAGTAATGACCATGATTTGAAAATTTTCGCAATAAAAGGCAAAAGGTGCGTGTTTGGCGTTATCACATATGGCACACTTTTCTAAACAAATCGGGGTCTCAGTGTGTTTCTGCAATAACTGTGTATGAGGGTGTTGTTGTAAGGACGCACGTAGGCTAACACGTAGTGCCGAGGTCAGCTCTTATGTACCGTAGGCAATGTGGGCCATTACGTGGAATAAAGCATTACACACACGCATGAATGCGTGGTTCGTTGGAAAAGGGAAAAAAGGGCACTATTTTCTGCAGCCCTTGCGGGAGCACGACTCGACGCCTTGTAGCAGATGGGAGAAATGGGGATATAAAAGAATAGTGTAAAGACATAGATAAAGAAATGGGACAAAGTAAGCCACCGAAAAAAGGAGGTAGGAAAGATGGGAGCTGGTCGAAGGAGTCCGAGGACGGAGCACCACATGGCGAAAGCTGCACTTCTCAGAACATTTGATAACAGCATGCATTGTCAGAATCGCATTTGGTTCTTTCGCCCCACTGCAACGACAGCAAAGTTTATGATTATGAAATGCCGCCATTTTTATTACGGCAACCTGGCGACCACAACAATAATCGTAAAGCGACCAATATTGCGTAAATCTTGCGTCTTTTTTAAGGAGGCGAAGTTTTTGGCCATGGTTCGCCTGATGGTCAACACAGGTGCTCACTTTAGACTTACGATATCTGCATCGATTCGTCCTTGCTCTCCTCCGACATGAGGCGCTCGTACTGATTTGAGAGCAGGTGGTTCACGAACCTCTGAAAAAGGAGAGTGAGTCAGAACGGGACACGACGTATCGGCAATGGTCGTGCGTTTACGGAATTGGGATATGAAAAGTATTTCCTGGTAGTTTTTTCTGAGCACGAGTTTAAGAGCAGAGTTCAAACGTGGTGTACGTGCCGTTCTCACGAAACAAAAGAAGGAAAGGCTGCACTTGCTAATTATCAGCTGTTAACTTCGGGTCAGGTATGCTGCAAACATGTTACGCTGGTTTGCAAGAATGACTGACAACTGGGCAAGTTGGCATGAATTCATACCACTGAAACGGCACCACAAGGTAAGACGAAGCGCACGAAAAAAAAAAAAAACACGATACACAAGCGCTGACTCTCGGCTGAACTTTTATTTGCATTCGCAGAACATAAATATATACTCACGCTTACCTTGACCGCGATTTCATTAGTATGAGTTGATTTGCAAGAAAAATACGAGAAAGTGGCGTAGGACGCTGGACAAGATCAGCAGCCTGGGACATACGGTTCTGACTTGACGGCAAAGTGATTTGATGTTTCCAAGGCAACATTATTATTATTATTATTATTATTATTATTATTATTATTATTATTATTATTATTATTATTATTATTATTATTATTATTATTATTACTAACATGTTTATAAGTAAGGTTTATGACTTCAGTGATCTTGGGGTTCTTTTTGATAGCACACTAAATTTCTATGCTCCCTCTAAATGTGCTGCCATGCGTAGCCTTCGTTCTCTCGACTGTGTTTGCAGAGTCTCTCGAGAATTCTATTCTCCAACAGCCTTGTACAAACTGTACACCGCAGTATGTCTTCCTCAACTTGAATATGCATCTGTCATCTAGAGTGGCATTGCTGAATCTGGCAGTGACGCCATTTAGTGAGTACACAAAAAAAAATCATCAGCATTTACAACTATCATTTCTGTAGGAAAGCCTCTAGATCTCATTCCAACACTGCCAGATTACTATCATTGCCATCACTTCACTGCCGACGAAATCACGCTCACCTGTTTTTTCGCTACAAACTACTTCACGCTATGATATCCAGCCCTTTACTTCTCAATTGTGCAAATTTTCGGATTACTCGTAAGTTTACCAAAGAGAATCGACCACCTCAGGTACCTGCCAACTCCTTTCAACACTTTACCGCTCACAGAATACAAAGTCTCTGTAATGTTAACTCTAATGATCTTGATGTTTTTCGCCGCCCACTGTCATAGTTTTTATCTCAGTTCTGCTGTGTGTTAACATAGTTTTTCACTATGTACAAATTCTTCTCCTTTCCGCTTTCAGGAAGGCTTCTACGTAGTTGTGTATTTTCCCTTTATTTTTCAATTCCATTCCATGATTGTCTTGTCTTTTCATTCTTCATATTTTGCACTGATTTTTTTGTCTGTGTGTTTTCATTCTTTTCATGTTATTTCTTTTTCTGAAGATTGTCTGTGTGTATTGTATTGTTTATTTTGATTGTTTTATTCTTGCGTGCACCTGTACTATAGGGCCTCATGGTTGTTCCAGGGCACGTTAAATAAATAAATGATTTATTGTTGTCGTGGTGGCTGTTTATGATGATGATAATAATGATGATGATAATAGTGAAATTTCCAACGATATCGAAGCGTTTTCAAGCGAAGGTATTGACGCTTTGACGGCAACGAATACGTTGACGCGAGTGCACGTGTAGACAGTGCGTGGTGAGAGAAAAGCAAACAAACAAACCTTCCACTTTGTGTATATCTTCGTGTGCCTCAGCACCGGGTCCAGCTTCTGGAAGTTTGTGAGCGCCGCGTTCCAGGGCACGTGGTGACGCTCCTTGGGCAGGTATTCGAGCACATCGAACGCCACGTCGTACTGCAGCTGGCCGCCTCTGCAAGCGAACAGAGTTTCCTTTAGCACTTGTCTTACGACCATGGTTGTACGGCCCCATCAGGCGAGGGGGGTGAAGGTTCATCGCGACCCCCCTCCCTATTTTGTCAATGTGTGGGCCAAAGTTGGCACTCCCCCTCCCTCTCAAGTCAATGCAACCCCCTCTTAGGTAACAAGAGGGAGGGTAGCCGCTATCCCCTTCTCCCTTCGTGCGTACGCCAATGGTTGTACGTGCTATAAAGGGCGAGCACGGGATATGTCCAGGATCGACGCCAGGATTTTTTCTATGTGGAAGGGGCGGTGGGGGTGGAAGCACTACAGACAAGCTAGCTCCTTTAGGGAAGCGGGGAACTAGGGCATTGGTTTTTGGCTATATGTTTGATCTTGGGGGTGGGGAAAGGTAAGGCGGAGGAGTTAACTTAGGTGGGCTTCAGCCACCCCGTGCCCACCGCTGACTCCCCCCTTGGGCAGGACGCCGCTGCCATGCTTTCTGTAGACAAATTTTGCGGGATTTCGGCATCGTCGTATTGGGCGGTTCACTCTTCGTTTTATACCTTCAGCAACTAAAAAAATGTTGCTGCGGGAAACGCGTAGGTATGAAAATAATTAGTTTGGTGGATTCTATGTTTCATTTCTCATCCCGGCAAACAAAAAATAAGAAGACATAAGAAGGTTCATCGCGACCCCCCTCCCTATTTTGTCAATGTGTGGGCCAAAGTTGGCACTCCCCCTCCCTCTCAAGTCAATGCAACCCCCTCTTAGGTAACAAGAGGGAGGGTAGCCGCTATCCCCTTCTCCCTTCGTGCGTACGCCAATGGTTGTACGTGCTATAAAGGGCGAGCACGGGATATGTCCAGGATCGACGCCAGGATTTTTTCTATGTGGAAGGGGCCAAGTAGGCCCAAGTAGGCGGCGCTCATAAGACGTAAGTAGAATAGCCCCCAGTGGTTTGAACGTGTATTGAAGGACAAGGAGCCTAACTCAGAGTGCGTTTTCTTCGTAAAGATTCTTTGACAAACAACTACACGACGCTAGACAATGTTTTCAGCATTATGCAGGATTACCTGAAATCGGCTCTTGCAAAAGGTTTTTTGAACTGTTGAATGTAGCAACAAAAAAGCTTTTAGAAAGCAAAAATAAAGCAAGAACAGAGGAGAGAGAGAGAGAGAATAAATTGAGAGAAAGGCGGGTACGTTAACCAAAATTGTAGCATCCGGTTTTCCACCCTGCACTAAGGGGAGGGGAAAGAAAGAGCAGAAAGAAAACGAAGAGAAAAGTAGACGCGCGAAAAAAAAAAAGAAAGGGTGGGTGTGGTTTAGCCTATTCTTATAGGCCACTGCCACGTTGAAGTTCAATAAGGCCTTGACTGATGTTCTGTGCAAAGACAGATTGTGTCCGCATTCGTGCACTGTTTGTTATGACAGGAGTCTGTCGTCAAGGCTGGCTAACGCAGCAGCTAGCCGTAGTCTGTGCGCACTGTAGCGAGGGCCATGACGAAGAACGTGCTCTATCGTTTGATCGCGGCCACACTGATCGTAAGCAACACTGAAAGCAAGAACAAACATTATGAGAACTTACCGGGCAAGGTCGAGTGCATCGTCGATGAGCTGAGCTCGATTGAACTCGTGAATTACCTGGGAGACAGAATAGCAAAAGCAATGCTCATTCTATGCATATGCTCAAAGTATACTGCCACACATGACTGAACAAAACACACGTATGAAACATATACATCAACGTTTAGGCGAGTCACAGCAGCAGTGTCTCAGCCTGAGACACTGCTGCTGTCGCCAGTAACGCGTTAAAAGTAACGCCGTTACTGGCAACGCGTTACTTTTTTTTGGTAACTTAGTAACGCCATCGTTACAATTTCGTAACTGTAACGGGTGACGTACTTACGTTAACATTTTTCGGTAACGTGTGGTGTCACGTTACTCGCTACTTTTTGATCTTGTAGGTGCCATTTTCAGCATCGGACCGCTGTTGCGCCTGCCAGGCATGGACAAAAAATGCGTGGTTGGAATCGATTTTGTTTGTGAAAATTCCGGGTAGAAACTTCTTAAGACATGCCACCGACTGCCTGTGCGGAAAGTTGGGTACATCGCCACACAACACTTGAAGAACTGCGCTTGTCCTTGTATCTTCGTGTCGTCCGTGTTTACTACCGCGCAGTTACATACGTCGATCATGAATCACCAACTCGCCCAATCGTCCACCTTGACTTGAAGAAAGCCGCGGGATCTGCCTAGAGAAATAGCATGAACATGCTTTTCGTGGAAGTGGATGGTAGCAGGTGACTCGCTGGCACCTGGCCCTTCTGTTCCAAGAAGACAGCAGGCTGCCCAAAGAGAAAGCGCATGGGCTTTCTCTTTGGGCAGCCTGCTAACACAATATTAATGAGATATAACAGACAGTAATGCCAAGGAATGTACAGGGGAAGTATGAGAACCAATGGAATGTAAATAAGAAGAAAGAAGAAAGAAAAGTGGATGAAAAAATTTTCAGCTGTGAGCAGGAATCGAACCCACGACCTTCGAATAACGCGTTCGATGCTCTAACCACTGAGCTATCACAACGGCCGTCCCTCCATCCACTTTTTGGGGTTTATATGTGAATTTAGAAGTAGGAGTGACCTGGCGCTGACTGTCACTCCTACTACATATATATATATATATATATATATATATATATATATATATATATATATATATATATATATATATATATATATATAAGGAAAGAAGTGTATACTTAAGGGCTCGTTTTTCGGTGTTTTACACAATATTACCGAAGTCTAACAGACAATAATGCCAAGGAGAGTATAGGGGAAGATATAAGACCGACTTGTAATGTAACAAAGAAGAAAAGTGGGTGAAAAGATAACTTGACGATAATAACTTGATAACCTGCGATAATAACTTGATAACTTGCCCACGGCAAGTTATCTTTTCAGCCACTTTTCTTCTTTGTTACATTACAAGTCGGTCTTATATCTTCCCCTATACTCTCCTTGGCATTGTCTGTTAGACTTCGGTAATATATATATATATATATATATATATATATATATATATATATATATATATATATATATATATATATATATATATATATATATATATATAGCCACTTCTTTCATTTGCGTGGTGTCTCTGTTTCAACTAAAGCCAAGTAACACCACTGTCTCGATAATACTACGGCTAATCACAGCTATACGGCATACATACCAACAGCTAGTGTCATTATCGTGGTTATGCAAATGAGCGATTCCACAAAAGATCCACATGAACGTGGACACTTTAGATTTGATTGGGTATATCTTATATTTTATGCACATAGCACCCAGTAGCCCGAAAGTGAATTTACTTTTCCTAGTGTCCAATTTAGGAGGCAGAAAATATTGAACGTGTCCTACATGGAGTGACCAATTTCATTGCCCGTCGTGCACGAAAGTTTACGATGATGCAGCACATAAATGTTACCATTACAAAGAAAGTATTTCGTATATGAAATGATTGCACAAAAAAAAAGTAAAGTAACACTGTCTAAAACTGGGAAAGCGAAGAAAAGTACTTTTGAATAATGTATAAATATGCGATATTTTTCGATAGTTGCTGCCCGACAGTTGCTCTAAAGTAGAGTAAGCATTATTAACTTTGTTTTGAAAACGAATTCTGCTTCTTTTTCTCAGTGGCAGCTATATTTTCTGGCCTTCGAACCCCTGAACGAGAGTGGCTGGACTTGGGCACCCTGACATAAACGCTCTCAAATTTTTGCGGTAAATGTACAGGTTGAAGTAAACAAGAAATGTTTATGCTTGGATCGTTTTTCTTTAGAGCATTAAAACATTTTTATTACTAAATATTGGCGCATCTATTTTGCTAGTGCAAGCCCACCATCAAAATGGGTCTTTTAGATGTAGGTAGTCTGCGCATTCGCATGATTTTTGGTGGACAAATCTTGACAGATGCGGACCAAGGGAAAACTGGTGTCACAAAAATGCTCATGCCCCCCCCCCCCCCCCCCCCGCAAAAAAGAAAAGAAAGAAAGCGCCTATACAGGCCTCCGCTAGTGCTATACTAGCGCGCGCAGGGCGATTTTGGAGGCCAATAATCACCAGTTTTCATTCGGATCATCTTTACTGGAGGTAGTGTTCGAAGACGGTAAAGACCGATTACTGTATATTTCATGAGAGTTCGGCGATTATTTCTTTGCGGATAGCGTAGATGATTGAATTTACTATCGTGTATATTGTCACATTGAGAAAAATGACTTCACCATTTGCCACAGAGTCAGAAGCCATCGCATGTAAATCTACAGGCATCTCGAAACTTTTTAGTACATAAAACTTGCATAAATTATTCTCGTCAATAGAGCATTTTTGTCATAATTCTTGTTTGGCTAAGACGTTTTATGTGAAGCATAAGTTTTCCATCTAAAAAAATCCTATTGTGAATTTCTGCAACAAAATAACCTTGATTAAAACTTATCATTCGCGAACTAACGGCAGAGGTAACGTCAGTTACATTTTTTTTGGTAACGGTAATGGTAACGCCTTACTGTTTTTTTTGGAGGTAGCGCAGGGCGATAACAGGTTCTTTTTTGTTTGTGTAACGAGTAACGTATTTAGTTTTTTTTTTTTTTGCGGTAACATGTACAGCACTGATCTCAGATTTAAGAATGAAGCTACAGTGACGTACAATTACCGAGATTTTGAAGACATTGGGTACCAAAATGAGAATTTTCAGTTAAATTTAAAATCACCACATTTGTCTGCGCCCTTTGACGAGAGCTCAATGAAGCCAAACGGAATGGGCCGCAAGACACAGCGCTGCGCAATATTTCCCTTCCTTTTTTTCACCCGCATTATTCGTGCTGATAGCCAAGATAAAGACGTACTTGTTTCAATGACGCTCTCAAAAACTAAATTTTACTAATAAGATGACTCCCCCCCCCCCCCCTAAAAATAATATATTGACAGCAACTGAATTACATCAGTACTATTACGAGGCCCAGACCTGTTTGCGTAAGCCAGTCTTAAAAAAAATAGTGTGACCTCTTACCACTGGCAAATATAATCTAACTTTGTATCATTTGTAGCCGGAGTTTAAAAGGAGGCAAAATAGTGCTACAGACACTACGAAAAAATGCAATTAGCGTTTGCTACTATCCAGTGAGCACCTATACTCGAGAATACCCACCTTGTGGTCCGTCTCCAGCTGACCGACGAGCAACAACCAGTTGGCCCTGTCGTAGTTGACCTTGTAGTAATAGGTCTCCTGAGCGTTGAGCAGCAACCAATGAGTCTTGCTCGGCGCTGCAAAAAGCTGGGCTGCGGACGAACGTGGTTAGATCAGAGAGGTGAAAGAAACATGGCTAAATAACGAGACCTTCAACTTCAGTTCGCACCTATAGATTAATGACTAGCTTAATTAATTTGGAGAGAAAGCCTAAAATCAATGCACTAGGCTTTTTTAACTCTTATTCTTTAACAGTGACTAGAGTAGTGAGTGAAGTGAACAGATGGAGCGTTGTACCCAGTAGCAAAAAGGGGTGAAGCATCCCAGGAAAGTATAATGCCGACATAGCGACGTAACTTAAAAAAAAAAAAAACACTCCGGGAGAGGTACGTAGAAAGCCCATCTTCCCATGGCACTCCTTTCAGTTTTGCTATTATGTTTTTTATATTTTAACTGTATATAAAATTTAGTCATTATTTGAATCAAAGTATTAAAAAAACGAGCATGGGTTCGCACCTCACTGCACTGTGTCAATGAGTGTTCTGAAAAACCGACCAAACAGCTGCTCCAATTTCAATGCAGCTAAGTTACGCAGCTCAGTGGTATTGAACACAGGGGCACACGTACCACAAAAAAAAAAACAAAAACAAATACAGGTTTTAAAGAGTGCTGAAAGTGCTATACGTAACTGTCAAGCAATGGAGATATTCTGTCTGGAAAATAAATCTCGAAGTGGTGGAAGAAAGGTCACTTGCAAGGAGTGGATCATGCCAGCTTGTATACAGGGAGGATGAGGAGCTCCTTAACGTCAGGACCCCCCCCCCCCCCCCCCCCTGCCTGATGATTTAAGTCAGTGCGCTCAACACTGCATCCCACTCGGACAACGCGGGTAACACTTGGCGCCACCTAGGACATAGCTGTTTGGGAAGCGCTTGCTAAACACGAGTTCAACTCAGCGCATCAAAAATGATATTCAAAGGCAGAAAAACAAACTCACAGGTCCTGGTACTAAACCAATGCTTCGGAGCCGTAGCTGTAAAGTCCGGCTTGTCTTCTGTGACGACCGAAATTGGGATGTGCCATATGGTGCTGTCGAAGGTAATGGACAGAAACTGTTGACAAGTAAGCTTCAAGAACACGAGACAACTGTTAAGAGCTTTCTTTTCCCGTTTCATCAGCATTGGTGCAACTAGAGGAAAGTAGACTTTACATATGTAACATCGTTTCGTATTTATCTCTTCGATATTGCATTTCTTTGTACTTTTATTGGCTCTTCCAATTGGTCGAAAACGTGGAACAAAAACTAAAACATGCACCTCCAAGTGAAGTTACGTGACAAATGACTGGACGTCAGTATTTCGCGGCGATTATACATTGCACGGTTGCTTCAAAAAAAAAAAAAAACTTCTGGACTTTGTCATTGAGTTTATTCCGCTGTTTCAAGAGTTTATAACGACTTCACGACTAGATTTGCGTTAGACGTTTATTTCAACTACTAGAAGAGGTTGTTTCAGGCCTTGCACTGACAGCAACATAAATTTGTATGAACATCGATGGGCAAAGGGGGGCGGGGCCAAAGTTCGATAATGTGGACAACTTCACGGCCAATAGTTACACTATCTCCTGTCACGGAAACCCACAGAGAGGGTTTTTTTATAGTCTACAAAAGCAAATTGATCCTTTAATGTATCGTTCTACTGGTTCTCCAGACATCTGAAAGCGATAAGGAGACAGGGAGTGAGCACTTGCTTGTCAACGGGTCCGCTGCCGAAAATGAAGCGCTTCTGGTAAAGGTAGAATGTGTTCGTCTCGTAGGAGCGGTTCGCGAACACCACCGGAAAGCCGGGATTGTACGTCCACTCTCGCATCACGGTAGTCAAGTTGACCGTCACCCGGTCGTACATGGCCTTCTGAGCCTGTCAGCATGTTGAAAGGAAAATATTCGGTTCTTAAAACACAAACAGTAAAGTTTTACACGCATTTTGCGCCACTGTTATTAATGAGAAAAAGCCGCTGGCGACCGATGGCGTTTGCTACTTGACGCTCACCGTGTGTATTTCCTTGTATAAATGCTGAGGATGAATGGAATGGTAGCTGTACTTCTTGAACAGCTCCTGCAAGGCAATTTATAAAACCAGGCGAATCGATGTGAATCTTGTCATAAAGTGCAGTCAGATACTCTTTTTGCATATGCAAATGTACGAAAGCTGCCTGCACGTTTTCAAATATATCTCATTGTGAAATGAACTATTCATCATTTACCCGTGCACAAAATTCATGACATCACTTACAATAAAAAGAATGAAAAAACATGACTCGGTGGTAAACAGCTTACAATCAAAATGTAGGTTCCTAAACTAGCCTACATATCTGCTCATTTTTCTGTGTGCACAGCAGAAGAAGGCCCATAACATTTGTTTTTCGCTGAAAGATTAATATAGATGACCTAGAGCAGCAGACAAAAATAGTTTAATGCTTGCTTACCGTCAAAGCCAGCCGGAACAAGTTGCTCGGAACCATATGTGCCATCATGCGGACAAGAGCTGAGCCCTAATGAATGAGAAAGAGATGGTAGTTCATACTTGTATACTTTATATACACAAATAATTATAATTTCATAGAGTCATTATCGTCAACAGACCACGCAAAAATTAGCTCTAGAAAAAATGATCGGCGTGAGTCGATAAAAAGTGTTAGGCTATAACCTGAACATTGACTTGAACATCCATAAGCAGTCAACCTTCAAGAAAAGCTTAAACAGGTTTTCGTTGAGAGTACAAGAGATGTTGGTGACGTTATAACATAGCGTCAGCATCCATATAAGTAGTGCGCCAATGTTGTACTTACTTCAACATACTGGCACGTGCATACAGTCTGGCTGTTTCGTGGCTACACTTTCACATTTATTTTTGTGCGGCGAGAGAATCGCTAAGCGGTTGTGGAAGACAAGCATGGGCTACTCGATCAAAGCTCGCCAGCTATTTCTTGAACTTGTTCTTCTTTTATAACCGTGCATATATTGTGCCGTTATCTTACGTGTTGTGAAGGTGCAAAAAGAGCACCCGGTGATGTCATTCGATTAACCTAACGTCAGATGTGCTTCCCCCCCCCCCCCCCCCCCTTTTTCGCAAGACCTACTACATGGCACTGGATGGCTGCAATACGATCATTATAAAGCACAGTCGTACTACGAAATATTTCCAAAACAAAATGACCTGAAGAAACAGCGTACATAAGTTCAGGAGTATCGTAGTAATTAAAGAGAGAAACTCGGCAATGAAGGAAGTCATAATAATAGTATCTGGGGTGTAACGTCCCAAAACCACGATGTGATTATAAGAGACGCTGCAGCAGGGATTCGATCCCACGACCTTCAGATTAGCAGTCTAGTGCTATAACCACTAGACCACCACGGCGCAGCAAAGAAGTAAGATTGGGAAGAAGCAACCAAAAGGGCATCCCACTATAGTTGAGCTGCATCACGGCAGGAAATAGCGAGACATTCAAGCAAATGCTCACGCAAAAACAGCTCGGAGTGGTCCGTCACACTTGACCAATCATGAAAACATTCGGTACAGATAATGAACGCCTTAAAAAGAGTCAAAGTATGTGTACTTAAAAAAAACTGTTGATAGCGGTCTAAGTGGGCTAGACAAGTACGCTCTACTGCGGCATTTAGAACGAATGTACACTTCGTCAGCATGTTATTTTGTGTCGCCCCTTATACGATACAGTGTGACATTACACTCTAATCAAAATTACTTCTGTCACAGACTTACGACCATCGTCTGGCGCTCTCGCGCTTCCTTCCCTGAAAACCCGGCTTTCGCCACATGCCTGTCAATAATGCCGTGTCATGCATACAAAAGCGGACGCCATTCGTGACCATGAAGTGCCGAAACTATGGTTGAAACACAAGTACGCGAGGTGGATGACGATTGTATCTGTGGAGCTGGAATACTCCCAAACGCTCGACATTGTTTCGCGGTTGACTGCAATGTTGGTAATTTGGAGAACAGTTATATTGGCCCCTTTAAAGTCTCATCAGCATTGGTATACATATGAACAAGGTTACAGAACATCCACCTTGGATAGTGTGACCGCGTTGATGTGCCTCCGAATGTCTGCAGGTGTGTTCAGAAGCCTCGACACAGGCGCAGACGAGTTGAACCCATCGGCCTCCATGGCAAGGTGAGCATCGGACTCGAGTACTGTAAAGCCCTGCGTAGGATTCACGTTTTAAATAATCCAAAAACCACGTCATTTCTGGGACGAATGCTTTGTACATTCCTTTTTGCATTTTTTAGAAGCTATTTTATCATAACCCTAGGCGAAACAAGAACTAAGTATCCCACTCCTTTATTCGCCTCTCCACCTCGATTTAAGTTTTATGCCATCTTCTCATTTTTTTATGATAGATGCATTTACACGCTTTCGCTTCCATAGCATAATCATAATAATTTGCTCCACATTCGGTGACCTTTTTAATGCAAGAACTTTCCTCATTAAACGGTGTCACCGGTGTAGATGATCAACCTAAGTTTAAAGTTGCTGAACCCCTCAATAAATTCCCCACGCTGTCCCCGCTTCCATAAGTGCTTTAAATTTGTTCAACCCGCTTGAACTCGTAGCTCCCAGAATCGCGACTTTTATCACTTAAATCTAGCATTAATTTATATAAATATAGCTATTTTCGTTCAACACCTGAATGTCGGAAAGCATTGCCTGGAATATTTTCCGCTTTGCCAATATCCAATTTTCTGTCTGAAATTGACTTGTGATGCCCCACCTGCGTCGTTGCCCATGAGGACTTGCAATATAACGAAAAACACAAAATAAACATCAGCTTGGTGAGCTAGTCATGCGAACTTGTGGCAGCACAATCAAGTCGTTCATTGTTATGTTAGACTAACTTTAAATAAGTCACGTGCGCAAGCGATGATATGTATGCCGGTCTTACCAAAGAGCAACTGCAAGCAATCGCATTATCGATGCCATACCACGTCCGTCTGGGGATCCGCCCTGTTAGCCGCTGTGTAGGTGATGTAGCGGGAGATGCCTTCTTTGAGCCACATGTCGTCCCACCAGGCCATGGTGACCAGGTTGCCCATCCACTGCCGAGGAAGAATACCAAGGATGATGTATCATATCGAATAGCACTGGGTGAAAAAGGTAGAGAGAAAAACTATAACAGAGGATTAAATAAAGACTTTAAACGTGTTCGTTTGCCATCTACGCCTGCCAGTGCTTTGGAGGGTGGTTTAACGTAAGGTAGAGATGTCTTTCACTATGTGCTCGTTACCTGCTGCGCGATTTTGTTGGCGATAACCCGTAGCGAGTCGACTTTCATCTGAAAAGGCGTGTCGTCATTGCGGAATGTCAGGTAGACGTCCTGGAAGGTGATCAGACCCCACTGGTCCATGGCCGGCGCCGGCAGAATCGGGGCGGCCACGAAGTCTGCAAGAACATGACGCTTGCAAACTTAAAATCGAATATCCCTGGTCACGCCCCTTTAAAGGGGTACTAAAGAAAAAAAAACTTGTCTCGAATTAGTAAATTACTCTTCCAAAATACCGAACTCTCCACTCCTACCGTGGAGTTTCTGCACTGATTGCCATGATATGTCATATGTTTTGACAGCGTCTGCTTGGGTCTAAGTAGTTCCTGATCCGTAAACGTAAAATGCATCGTCCTCCGAGAGGGCCAGAGTGCTGGCATTGCAAGTTTCAGAAAAGTTTCATGACTGTTGGTGTTTTACGTCCCAAAATCATTTCACGAAAGCTCGTTGAGCCAGTGTATCCGAAATACGAATAAAACTTCTTGAAATCCGTCACATTTCTTGTGGAGATTTCGGCGTGAAGCTTTAAAATAAAACGATGACCATGGTTTTATATACCATTAATGAGCTTATTAAGGTGAAATAAGCTGCAGAGTTTTCACAGTGTTATTTGTTAGTCTAAACTTATTCATTATTTCACTTCAGTGTCTCTCTAAAGCGCATGGTCATACAGCAATGATTCATCTAAAACTGTACGACTAAATGGAAAGTATGGAGTGAAGGTTCTTCCCGGGGCACCCGCCTTCGTCCGTGCCTGGAACAATAAAAACCCATCTCCTTGTAGAAACTTCGCTTCTGAACCTGAAACCATCAGTGCTCACTCAGTGTGGTGGCCTTCTTTAATGATCCCTTCCTTGAGACTGGCCATGGTGGTCTACTGATTATGATACTCGACACCCGACCCGAAGGTCGTATGATCGAATCCCGGTCGCGGCAGCTACATTTTTGTTGGGGGTGAAAATGCTCAAGGTCCACGTACTTAGATTCAGGTGAACGCTAAGGAACCAAAGGTAGTTGAAATTTCCGGAGCCCTCCACCACAACATCCATCGTAATGTTATTGTGGTTTGGGAGGTTAAACCTGACAGCTATTGTTGTTTTATTTCTTCTTTTAGCTTAGACTTCCAACAACCTGAAAGCTGTTTCAGTTCGCCAACTTGACTTTCAAATTGAATGCACATGATAAACCCCATTTTTAGGCACGTTATCGTATACGTGAAAGTATGGTGAATTGTACAATTACTGCCCTAGAAACGTTGGCTCCCTGTTTCATTGCTGAACCAAGAAATAGTCTGATCAGACGTGCAGCCCTTTGAGAAACAAACTTGGGCTTGAATTGTGTCTTCGTGCTCTAATATTAAGCATAAAATAGTTACTGTTAATTTTTTCTTTTATGAGCGCTTTTATGTTTCCGCGAACGAAATCTGAACTACTATGTTTTCAGGCAGGCGAACACAGTCATCTGTCTGGCTGGATGCTACGTGACACTAGCGTTACTGGCCCCTCAACCACCTTCGACGTTTGAAACATTTCAAGAAAGCACGCATCGAGGTTATTGCACCAACACGATTATAGCAGAGAACGGCAGCGCCACGCGCTGTGAATGTGCCACAATTAAAAAAAAAAAAAAGAAAACCGTACTTCTATTCGGGCCTTCCGGCATCCCCAGAGCTGGCAATGACGTCATCTGTAAAATGTCAGCAGCAACGAGAACCCGTTTGTCTGCTCGCGCTCACTGCTCATCCAGGAGGGGCCCTCGGCTAGGACAGAAGAACCGACTAACGGATCGTATAGCGAAGGAAAGACGAACTCAAGTAAGAGCTTCTTCGGAATGATCAAAAGTGTCTAACTCTGCTATTACGGCACGGTTTTGAAAGAATGTTCGTGACCACAAATTCGTTGTATACTCGTGCACAAGTGCAACACCACAACTGCATTTCGATTCCTAAAAGTTATGATCATACGCCTATAAAACGTTTTTGTCCGAAGGCGTCGCTGCATAACCGCCAGTGTTAAAACGCTCGAGACCATTGCATCGATTCTCTGACTGCTACTGCGTACCGAGTTTGGGGATGGGATAGTTGAGACTGAAGGTTTCCTGGCAGTACTGTAGTATCTTCGGAGCCACCTGCAGGGCGTAGTCTGCGTTGCGCACCTGCTGCGGGGTTCCGTGCACCTTGATCTGCGAAAGCAAAGCTATACGTGAGTAGAATGCGACCAATCACGTGTTACTGTACTACGTGCGCTTGTGCTTGCCCACGCACCACACGCTTGCACACGTATCCAACGGTTGCGCACACGTGGCACGCGCATGCACTAGCGCTGTTAAAATAACTAAAGCTCCACTTGCGCAATATACAAGCGCTATTTACTGCGTTACACCAAACTATAGATATGAATTTCGCGAACCAATTTAGGAGATTTGGTTTAAACGATAAAGCCACATGTATAACACATATTGGAAACGGAACCTGTGTGAGTAAGTGTGCGAAGGTGGTAATTTGTAGCGCGATCAGTTGAAAGTTTGAAATTTGTAGTAAAACCTACAGAAGAAAAAAAACTAAAAAAAACTGATTACATGTTTAAAGAAAGACTTCGTTTACTGGCGATAAAAGCATTACTACCCTGCTGCACCAATTTCGATAGTGGTCTGATTGAACTGCGGTTCCAGGAAGTATAATGGCGCACATCACTTTTCGCAGAATTTGCTATCGAACTCAAAATTATGCTTGCCAACACTACGGTTCCTCTAAGAATTCTATGTTTCGTAATAGTAACAAACATATACACCAGGGGCGTAGCCACGGGTTGGCCTCTCTTAAATTTTCTTCGCCATGGTTTACGATGCAAAATATGAATATCACAAGGGGATGCTCTCCTCAAAGCAAAGAAAAAAAGTGTACTCCCCCCCCCCCCCCCCCCCACAAAAAAATTCAGGCGCGTAGCCTGATTTTTTCATTTGAAAAAAAAATTGTATTGCTTCATAACTTAAGAATCGCTTCAGTTTAAGGTACCGCACATTTTTTTGTTCGTACCTTTTAACATAAGCCTGCTACATCAAGCACGATGCAAGCAGAAAACCTGCGTTTTGAGTTGACCCCGAGACACTATGATTGCGTATTGTTAAAATAGCAAGATGTATACACTAGAGTGCTTGTTGTTACAAAGCTCCTGAGTGTATTTATATTTTAGACATCTTATCATGATGAAGTATCATGCTGTAATATATATCGTGTGGCTTTGAAGGGTTCCTGAAACAAAAGGACATGCTATGCAAAAGCTGTGATGCTTAAGAACACACTGAAGTGAAACTTCAGGAATGTGCTGCTTCTTCCCATCAACCTAGAGTGCAATTAAAAACAATGTTATCGCAAACGTCGTCCTTTTGATGCCTTACGTACATAACGCGTATGAAAAGATTTAACACTGACCATTCCATTTCCTGCTGTCACATACTGCCCAATAACGAAACCCAAGTTGTGGGTCGCCATCGGAGGCGTTCTATCAAAGTAGTCGGCCACGAAATCCCGGGACCTGTAAAAAAAATAGGCGCAAATAGTCAACACAATACGTGACCCAGGGCCGTATTCGAAAAGTAATTTTTGTGTTTAGGTCAAACGAACAAGCACCATCAATTTTCGATATCAGTTATCACTTGGAAAGATCACTGGTCAGTGTCGAATAAATTATCGCATTTCAAAGCCTTGTGAATTCGTTCTCTGAGGGCAATATAAAAAAAAACTGCTCGTTCAAAAGAAGAATCTTTAATTGTTGATCGAGGAGCTTGCGTTAATAATAGGGTCACTCTCACTATTTGGTGACAATTGTTCTTAAGAATCCATGCACAGGGCTTGAACAAACTATTTGTTCCGTAGGGGCGTTTCGTTTCTTTGTAAATCCCCATTATTACTAATATAACTGCTGACACATTGACTGGTGCTATATATTACACCTTGATATAACGAAAGAGTTGCTGCGGCCATTTGCGGCGCTGAACATATTCCTGAAGAATCCAACGGGCCCACGACGAGCAGGGTGTTAAAAAACAAAAGATAGGTAGGCCGACATCTACAAAGGTTTTCGCAGAATGTAAAGTTTTCTAGAATGGACACCGAAAAACTTTGATAACGAATCAAGTAGCAGCTAGGACAGTTGGCTAATGACAGATATCCTTAATTTTACAAAAATAAAGCATGTGCGAATTGGGCTGCTGAAGCCGCTTCGTGTCTAGGGTCACGATATAATAGCGATGCCTTCTGCTCAATTCTATGCCGCTCTTATTCCCCACTGTTCACAGGCTGATTGTATCATATATACCATTTTAAATTTTACTACAGCTCACAATAGCAACTGCATATGTACGCAAACCATGAATATAAGTAACATCGACAAGTACACAGTGACGAAATCACAGCTTTGCAGGACGTATAGAAAAAAAAACTTTTGTTAATGAGTAATCTTTGCACTTCGTCCTCAGTATTCGCGAATAGAATGAGCAGCATCCAGATTGGTTAGTATTTTAAAGTTTTGAGGTGGACATTGGCATGATAAAAGGAAATAAAGCTGGAGTTGAATGTAGTCAATGTTTTTTTCCCCCTTTCTTTTCAAAAAGTAACTGGTGCAGAGGTTGGCATGCACCTGTTAAACGGTTACCTCTCCTCGCTTTTCGAGAGTGGCATATTGGAGAAGCTGCGGTAGTGGCTGGGCCGAACCACCACCAGGTCGAAGGTGGTCCGCAGAGAGGGCTCGTCGAAGCACGGGAACACCCAGCGAGCGTACGTGGGCAAGAACTGCGTCGCCACGACCGTGCTGCGACGAAACAAAGGAGGAGGTGTGATCTTATCGGCAACGAAGAGAAAGCCACTGCGAATACACTGCCGACGCAAGAGTAAAGTTGTGCATCGTCTAAGAGGGGCTCATGAGATTTGACGAGGTTCACAGGGAAGGAGTTAATACTTGCCCGAACCGGCGTAACCCCCCCCCCCCCAAAAAAAAAACAAAAACAGGACGTGTAGTAGGGCTGTCACCACAACCTTCTCTGGTTTTTTCGTCATATTCATTTTTTTTAATTCACCGCACATATGCATTACCTTCGTGGGTGCATTGTACAATTCGCGTGAGTGGAATGCAGTTACCCGAGGTTTCGGTACGATTGCGCTTAGTCGCACAAAGCTTGGCCCAGTGAAACACGGCTCCGTCGCCGCTCGCAAACTCTGTCCACAGACACGCCAAGCTTCGAGATGCGCGGCTCCATCCTCGGGAGTACGTACTTTTTTAGGGCACCCGACATCTGTCTCTGCACGATCGGGCACAGTTAGACTGTCCACTGTAGAGCGAACATTGCGCGCGATGTCACCATCGGTAGGATCGAGTGGCTTAGCTACCACGCATGCATGCCAGGTGGTGTGGTGTCTAATAGAAATGCGTGCTTACTATTTGTCTTATTTTATCTTGTTCTAAAAAGGGAGGGCATGCAAACGCGGGTATAAAAAAGTAATCTGTCCATCTCAAACTCCCGCTAATACCTGAAGAGACCGACAGTGGCGGAAAGGAAAGGAAGCACGAAAACTTATCTGCGCATGCCGATGTAATAGGCGATCCTATCAATCGGGCCCGAGGGGGTGTCTACGTCAAAGAAAAGCCCTAGTCAAGCCCGTGAAGAGGCTTTTTGACCCCGGCCCTCAGCATTCCAAATGATGGTATGTTGGAATAAATAAAGTTCAAAGTTCAAAGTTCAAAGTTCAAAACTGTTAAGACACTTGATGTCATCTTCATGCAAGTTAACTGATTGGTTCAAGCATGCACAACCACTATTTTTGATATACCATGCCTCAATAATCAGATGCATTTCTTAATTCCTATGCCGGTACAAAACTGCCAGTACATATGAATGAAGGAAGCTCATTCAAGCTTCGAGATTCTATAAAAAAAATGAGTGGCTTTGGAATAGACGCATCTCTAGAAGCATGCATGATCTACCGTGGTAGCTCCACAACTTTTGCGCTGCTAGCCCCACCGCGGTGGTCTAGTGACTAAGGTACTCGGCTGCTGACCCGCACGTCGCGGGATTGAATGCCGGCTGCGGCTGCTGCATTTCCAGTGGACGCATATATGCTGTAGGCCCGTGTGCTCAGATTTGGGTGCACGTTAAAGAACCCCAGGTGGTCGAAATTTTCGGAGTCCTTCACTACGGCGTCTCTCATAATCATATGGTGGTTTTGGGACGTTAAACCACACATATCAATCAAACTTTTGCGCTGCTAAGTTGGAGGGAGCATGTTCGATACCCAGCCAGGTGGCTGTGTTTTGTCTATGACGAAATGCAAGGATGGCTATGTACCTATAGGTCTAGATGTACGTCAAAAAGCATCATGTTGCCAAAATTATGCCAAACATCACCAACCCCCTTCCCTGGTCTCCCGAAACAGCGTGCATTATATTCATGTCGTGGTTTTCACACGCAACTTCGGAATGTAAGTTATTAATTTAGGGATGTCTTGTGCATCGGAGTTTGGCTTGGTGCCAAAGTATTGTCTCCAGGTTTATGCCCTGTGTGCACTGTTGAGCGAAAGAGCTCGTCCTCCAATTTTGTGACTCAGGGAGAGTAAGCACATCTTATCGTATACACGCTGCTAAAGAATTCAGTTGCTGCCTCAACGAAGAAAAGTCAACTTGCCGAAACTTTGGCTCAAGTGACATGCCCTGTTCAATGACATCTCATCTCAATAACAAATTCAGTAATCTTATTCTGAACTGACCACTATATGTGGCCACTTACATGCGTTCGTTGTCGCTGATGAAGTAGGACTTGTAGATTCCGCGCGGTATGTTCCTGATGGCGCCGGCAAACTCGATAGACAGCGAGTAGGACTCGTTGAGCTCCAGCGGCGAGTCCGTCTCAATCTTGAGCATCTCGAGGTCATCGTTGATGGCCATCTTGCCGATGCCGACGAACGTCTTGTCGGCCTCTCGGACGAGCGTCGTCTGCTGCTCCTTGATGGTGAAGCCGGCTGCGTGCAGGTACACCGTCTGCGTGGGCTTCATACATCTCAGCAGCACGATCGTCTTGCCCAGGTAGTAGGTGTCGCCGAACATGAAATTCTGGTCTCGGTTCGCATCCATCACAACCTTGAATAAACAGAAATCAGAGTCAAAGTTACTTCGAAGAGCCGAGCCGACAAAAGACCACCAGTGCAAATACGCTATACTCTTTCAGTTGGCTGTTCTATAGCAATGCCAAGAAACGAGCAAAATGGCAAAATGATATAGAATAATACGGTTTTCACGAGGGTGAAAATAAAGCTTCACAATACACGGACAGTGGCAGTGCGCGAGTAACCGTCACAAAAATAGCTAAGAATGCCATGTTGCTTTTCCTTTAAGTTCATGCGACTATCATTAGACAATGTTATTGGGACACGAAAAACCATTTTTGCTCGTTTAAGTAAACTACTCCTTCACGATACCAAAAGCATCACGCTTGCTGCGAGAAGACACACGGCAAGTGAGAAAAGCAGTAAAAAAAATGCGGGTGGCGAGGTCATCTTGAATTTCCCGCATCACTTCGTAGATTTTGACGCCATCTACAAGTATTACGCAGCTTCTGACTAATAAATATTAAGTATGCTTTCTTCTGAAAAATCCAGCTACTTGACAAATCAAGTTTCAGAAAATTTTGTTGGGCCTGTGAAAAGACAATAAAAACAACAATAAAAAGAGAAAATTATTGAAACTTGTGACGTCGTTACCGTAGATTTCGGCGGAAAATTTGAAAGCGAGACCTCTGGCATTGGTTTTCTCATCTATATATAAAGGTTTGACGGTGCAATTTAAAACACAATAGAGTTTCTGTAGTACAATTATCAATATAAAGTACCTCAATGCGACCATTTAGAGTCCCTTCAAAAGGCAATGAAATTGAGGCTCTCATTTTCGTGAAGAATTCGTTTGCCTTGAACATGCTTTTTGTACTGCGCTGGCGATAAGGCAGCTGAGAAAACACTGTACGCGAAAAACGTTCGACGGGTCCCCGCCGTAAAGGCGAGCGCTTGCGACAAACCTTGATCATGAGGTCGTAGTGTTGGGGAACCACGTAGAGCGGCAGTTTCTCGGGAAAGTCGGAGCGCGGGGGCGGCAGGTAGTCGTCGTCGGGAGAGTAGGGGCGCTCGGGCAGCGAGTTCGGAACACCGGTGGCTGCAGCCGGACTCCCCGGGAACACGAGTGGCACGCTGCGCTCGTCGTTCGGCCTGGGACTTTGCGGCAATCGCGCCGCCGGGTGCGGAGGCTTCACGAGGGACGGCGGCACGAGATTCTCGGAGGGCGGCTTCCCAGGCTGCGAGAGAAAGAAGAGAAGCAGAACTCAAATTCCCAAAATATTTGCCGCTTCGGACCAACACGTGGCTGCGTCATAGAGCTCCACGTCACGGGTACTTTCCTCAAAGAGCCGCCAGCTCTATTGCGCGTTTGCCTAAGACAAGCCAAAAGCTAAACCAATCCTCTTCCCAATCCTTTTCCCATAGTGAATCGTTCAGTTGATGACGGGTGTTTTGTCGTGCGGTATACACATTGCATTTGTTTTCGTCTTACTGTATGTTATCCGCTGGCATTTTTCGTACATTTTTGTCAATCTCCGTTACGTCGTGTATTCAGTGTACTTCCTACTATCTGGTTAGGCTGTACTCTACTTACCGCAAATTGAGCTTGTGTTCTGTCTTGTAATCATGTTGTATTCCCCCCACTGTAATGCCTTATGGCGCTGTGGGTATCAAATAAACAGTAAACAAACAAATAACCGTCTTCTGCTTCTCCTTTGCCTTCCGGGTGAATTCTATTGATCAACCTTGCTCTCCCCTACCTGTTTGTGCACCTAACGTGCTTTTACAGTGCCTCCGGAGTCAGCACAATAGTGACCGAGTGTCATGATGTGACGTCATAGTGATGTCACAAATTACGGCATCTGTGGCGGGCCCCGGGGGGACGTGGGGTCCTCATCACGTGATAACTTCTTCGATTCGTGTTGACGCCGACGATGACGTCATCATGCAATGACATTCTTTCATACATCATGTTATATGGCGTATTAATGTCTTCACAATATTCGCGAGAAATGGAAACTCGCAATTACGTTATACGGTGCGACATCCCATGTTGATTATTTTCTCATCAATCCTGTTAACGGCACCGACACCGTAGAGGCAGACGATCAATTGTTGCGTTCGATTAGGTATCGAACGCTTTCGCCTTCCTAAGAGCACACCTGGGGTAGCCTGGGAGGAGGCGCGGGCAACGCCGCTCCTCTCCTGTCGGTCATGTGCGGCATGAACGGCTTGCGCATCATAGCCGGAGGAGGCGAATGCGCAGGTGGCCTTTCGGTGGGCTTCTTGGTGCCGCCCATGACCAGGAGCCAGATGACGATCAGGCCGGCCACGCACACGATAGCCGCCACAGTGGCTCCCTTCCGCGAGAACGGCGCCTTGGCGTCTCCGCTGTCACCCGAGGCGGCTGCCGACGAGATCTCGTGGCCGCCGCCGACGTTACGTCGGTGCGAGCCTCCCGCAGCCCTGCTCGAGCTGCCACCGGAAGCGGAGTCATCGTCCGTGGCTATGGACATGATTGCTGCGTAGCCATACAGCCGAATGAGCGCCCGCACGTTGATATCCCGTCCTTTGAACATCCAAAATATTGCTGTCATCTGTTTCATGTTACTGCCTTTTTTAATAATGATCGTGTTGTTTGTTGCAAGAAAGTAACAGGTGCTGTGCCCTTCATCCCTCCCCTTTAATCTGAACTTTATAGCAATGTAGATAACATGTAGATAAAATGTTTATAACAATGTAGATACAAACGATGGGTAAACAAACATTAACAGAAGCCCTGTGATGGTTAAGAGAAACCACAATTTCCTAGCAATGTTGCAAATGACCCACTCAATCAATCAATCAATCAATCACTCACTCACTCACTCACTCACTCACTCACTCACTGCTTTTTTCGCCAGACAAGGCACACACTCACTATGCAGTTACAGGCTGACAGAATGGGAACACACCAACCGTTTTACGTTGTTCGCCAATAGCCGTCCTATTTCCGTGTCACATGGCGTGCCCTGGCGCCTCCGACGGACACGCCGCTGCAAAGGCACGTATGCCACACAGATGTGTCAGGTGACGACACAGATAACTCACGGAGTGTGCCATTTTAACTGACAACCTATATTATAAATGTATTAAGATTTGTGTTATTCTGTCCTATCAGTGCCATCTATTGTGTTCTTTGCTGCAATCATCGTTTTTATGTATTTAAATAACTGAAAATAAAGGTCAAATATATTGTAACATAGAAGAAATGTGTTTTTATAAGGGTGTGTAATACCTCATATATTTGTGCATCTTTTTCAACGTCATAAGCTTATGCCCAACACCTTGCAAAACCAGTTTATATTTTAGTATTTATGCGTTTGTTTCCGTTCAACATTCTCTCCTGTTTGTCGTCAATGCATTAGCTGTGCATACCACAATGCATGGCTCAAACATGAATGCTGTAGTTAGCGTTTCACAGCACCAACGTTCGTTCAGCCAGACACTATACATCTAGTAGTCGCTTAACACATCGGCTTACGCAGCTATGTGGTGCTTGCAAGCAAAAAGGACTCGGAACTACCCCATCAAGCTTTGCGGATAGACGTAGAGTTTATCAAAAAAAAAAACACAAGAGTTCGCTTACGCCGGCAATTCACTGTATACGTCGATGGTAATTAGGCGCATTCAGCCACATGCTAGCCCATTATCGGCAAATGATACATCACGAAAGCGCGCATACCTCCTTTCTAATGAACAACGGGGTCCCACTTCAAAAATGCGCCACAAAGAGTGTTAAATAATCAGTACTCACACCTCCCGGTGATCGAAAGAGTCGCTATCCGCCGATATTTGCGAAATTCGCCCGAGGATTGCGCGTGCCCCAACACTGAACCTTGTTCTCTTCTTCTTCGGGCAATTCTGTGTGTATACGACATGCTTATTCATAAATAAGACGTAAATATTACGTTATCTATGAAGTACATACTAATTTAACCTCGCGAAATTCTACTATGGGTAGCTTGAATAGGAAAGCGTGGCTTTGGGGAGCTGACATTATACGCCCTGCAAAGACAACGTGGCGCTCGAGTGATAAATCAATCAGAGTGCCTCGATGCTCGCTCTCTCCGAGCGAGGGCACGTGCATCCAAGCACCCTAAAATCAACCACGCCCACAGAGAATGGCGCTACCCACAGTGGCGGGTAGTGCCATTCTTTCGGGAATCATCATCATCGCCACCACAGAGAATGAAGACGATGTGGTTGAATGGTGCTGCATAAGGCAAACATTCCTTTCAAAATTATGCAGAATGGTGAAGTAGTGAGCTGAAAGCTGGAACTATCAAGTGTGAAGCAGCGTTATGTTTGTTATAAAGGAAGCAGCGAAAGTCAGATAATACCTGGAATAAGGCCTTTCACTTTGGGTACAAGTGGTGCTAGCACGACGATAGATACCGTTTCAAACAATAAACGTTTATTCCTCCTCCTACTCCTCCCACTCCTCCTTGTCTCTACACTGATAAACAGTCTAGAAACATTCTAACATAACCTCGCTGAAGCCCAGCAAAAACTTGGAAGCAACCTAGAAATAACCTAACATCACCCTGCTAAAGCCCCGAAACAACATGAAAGCAACCAGATCAGAGACTTCAGAATCATTTAGCTTCGCTCTTTAGAGCTTTGCGCAACTTGTGCCTGCCTCGCCATTTTTTTAGACGTACAATATCATAAAATATGAAGACGCAAACACTGACGCTCGTCAGCAATATAACAAACACATTTACAGCGCAACATATTTCTTTTCGGTTGTTTATTGTTGTCAGTGTCGAAGCAACACAACTTCGCGATCAAACTTCCTCTCCTACCTGCCCCTCGGTTGTCAGAAGAGGAACGAGAGAAATACGATTCACTGAATGGGTGAATAATTCACCCACGCTGTTATCTATTGACTGGTGTTGACCAGGGAGAATCGCATGACAGGGTCTTCTTTCTGCAAACAGTGTGTCGTTTGTCGCATGATGTCCGATGCAGCGGCTGTCGTGCTTCGTGCCGTCAGAAGCAATGGACGATTGACTGTCCACTCGAGTCCGAGCCGACGCACTGTCCTCTCCGAGCGTCCGGAAACAATTATAGCGGCCTTTGCGTGAACGGGCCCACACGAGTATTTCACTTCCGGAAACCTCGCCGATGGGCACATCCGGTCATCTCCAGCGTGAGCTACAGCACTCACAAGCAATTATTGGGGCAGCCACCACGCGGGGTCAATTCAATGGGCTGAAAAAAAGAGTGAGAAGGTTTGAAGAGAGAAAGAACGGAAGAGAATTTAGCGTCGAAAACGTTAATGCCCTTCTTTTCGACGCGCGCCAAGAATTAGGTCCGTGAAAATCGCGTACGCCAACGCTGCATGCCCACGAATGAGTTGTACTTCCTTCCGGGCTGCCTGGGAAAGTGGCAGTTCTAGAGCTTTAGAGATAATACAAAAAAAGGAAGTAGAAGAATACTCTGAGGACGGCGTGAGTAACACAAATCAATCGTTGGTTTCGGACCTTGTCTTGATAAGTGGCTCGCAAATTCAGCTCCATCCTCGGTATATGTGTACCGATTTTGCGCTAGGATGTGGCGTGCCCTAGAACGGTTGAACGGCACAACGTGCACGTGAAAATTTTGTATCACGAAGAATTCAGTTCTCGAAAAAATGAACGAAGAGGTGATATTTTAGTTTTACCTTGTGTGATATGTTTATTCACACTTCCGACGCCCGCAAACCTGTACGCGCAATCTTGAAAACTACTTCCCGCCTAAGGAAACCTTTTAACAGCGAAAGCCTTAGAAAGGCCTCATCAAACGCGAAAGTCGACTGTAGACGCCGTCAACGTCACAGTTTTCTAAAATTAACTAGAGGGAAATCTGGTGTTGTAATAGTTCAGCCACCATGGGAATGATGGGTATAGTACACAAATTTGCCTAGTTTTTGTGCTTGTGGCTTCGAACTCACCTGCAGCTTCTTTTATTGCTGTGTATTGGTTTTGTTTTGAAAAAAAAAGAAAGGACCATTGTGAATTTTCTGAGCCGATATGAATCGGTCAGCCTAAAAAGGTGGAGGTGATGAAGCGTAACTACCAAAACTTTGCTGAGCTTCGTCTGCCGGCAAGGCGTATTCATGCCACACGGAGCCAAACGGAGTCGTAAGAACGAAGGTTAGACAAGTTTGTGTGCTATTATAGTGCCTAGAGTTTCAGGCACTGTTGTACTACCCCTCATTCTCATGCTGGCTGAAGCACCTTGCGTAGCAGCTCCCATAGAGACTAGCGCCAGAGACCATGCGGGCTTTGTTATGTTGAAGTAGCTCAATAAAAATACTGAGAGCACCTCAAACTATATGTGGTGACCCGAAACGCCAGTGGGCAGAGTCGTCCATCTTGGTGCATAGACGGGACATGTATACGTTGCAAAAGCTTAAATGCTCTGAAGTCGAGTATTTATAGCCGCTTAATCTTGTAAGGACTGAACTTAAATAAAAAAATAAAAAGGTATAATTATACCAGAAGATCTCAATTTTGCAAGCGAATCGAAGTGCAGAATGCGAAGAAGCAAGCACGTGACGATTTCTGTGAGAATCATTATTACAAGAAACCCAAATCGGCAGCAGAATAATACTCGGTGATTCCTACTCAGCACAGGCCGTATGAGTCGGGCATTCTCTTCAGCATGCGATGTTTTTTTTAAGCATCTTAGACAGACATTAAACTCTTTGTCTGGGATGCTTCAAAAAGAAAGTAAATCGCACTGTGTCACGAGCTTATCCAGATTGATCAGACTCGTATGAGCGGCGAAACTTATCATCAATGATCATCCGTTAGTTGCGCGCTCTAAATGAACAGATAGCTGACCTTTGGCATAAACGTGGAGGCTTATGGAGCACCAAGAATATGAGTCAGACAAAATACGGCGTTTTGTGCATTTCGCTTCGTAACTCGTGTACTTGTGCCTCGTAACAAAAAGGCAAGAACAAAGCGCGAACAAAGTCTGCCAAATATACGCAAGCAGTTTACCGTGAAGCTGAACCTCGTTCACTCTTGTTTCGCGTTCTACATTGATACGCGAGAACGCCCGCATGTCAAAGCTAGGTGCACCAAACGTATACACACTATAAAAAGAAAAGACGACGTCCGATACACATTGCCCTGCGTAGGCCGAGTCCAGCGGCAGCAGTACTTCCGTGACCTCGATAGAAACGGTGGTTGCACCACCTGTCAAAGGTGTCAGCAGATTGGCTCCGTGGGAGGGCATTTGCGAAGCCGTTTGAGAGCTCGCATAGCACGCCCGTCTGAACAGCTGAAGACTGAGGCCCCCAATTGACTTTGAAGACCCGTCGTCGGGGCACGCGTGATTGCTTGGTTCCGCAAAATGCCGGTCGCTCTTCAATGCCTTTACAAATGGGCAGCTCCACAAAAATGTCTATCGACTTCCTGTAGAAAAATAAGCGCAATCACTACCCGCATTGCCTCTATAGACGCATTTCCGGCACGTGGAAGCTTCTCTTTTATTTTGCTGTCACAGCATGCTTGCGCATATCTGTTTGTACGCTTGCACATATGTCTTGCAAGTACATTTGCGCAACAGC